CAACTTTCTGGGTCTTAAAAAAATCATTGAAAGATTTGAACAGGATTCTGCCTGCCTGCCTACCTGATTTATTCATTCATTTATTTGTTTATTTGTTTATTTATTTGTTTATTTATTTAATCTTACAATTGCAAATGTATTAAGACTCTGTTGATATATGCTAAGCCATAAAATAGCATTCTTGAAGTCTACAGTCTCTGATCCTTGATCTGGCCTATCTCAGCTTGGGGAAACAGATTATTTGGACCCTTGTCAGTCAGGTTGAAGGCCAGGATATAGCATGGAAACCATGTTGGTCATGTTTGTGGATGACCCACAGAGAGCCCAGAGTGGGGGAAAGTGTGCTAGTCCTCTTTGACCTTTTGCTTTTGACCAGTAGCTTTTGATTCATTTCTGAGAGACTGGAATACATGGAATTGTTTTGCACTGGTTTTCATTTTTCCAATCAGTGATGTGAAGAAGAAATTATCTGTGTGTAGAGAAGAGTGCTTCTGTTATGTGGAATACCTCAGGGCACTCTTTTCTTGTCTTCCTACCGCTTTTTAATACTGTATTTACATGACTGCTAGGACATGTCATTTGTCAGTCCTGGGTTGATTAATATGCTAAAGATATTCAGTTATGCATCTTGGCTCTGTGATCAACAGTGAGTGAGTGATAGAGTGCTGAACTAATGCCTGGGCACTATTAGGTTCAAATAAGGAAGAAGAGATTTAGACTGAATCCTTCCAAAATGCATCAAGTCTGGATTTGGAGGCCTAACAATTCCAGAAAAATGCCATCTTTAATTCTGGTCAGTGTTGCATTTCCCCATTCCAGAGGTAGTTCATGACTTGGAGATCTTCCTAAATTCACAGCCCTTGTTTATGGCTGCTATGACTAAAAAATATTTGGACAGTTATACCTTGTGCACCAATTGTGTAGCCCAATCTCTATTTCTCCCTTACGCAGGATATTCAGGCAGCTCCACTTTTACTTGGCTTTAGGAAGGCATTAAGACCCACTGGAAAAGGAGGGGATGCTTTGACTAGTAATAGATTTGCAAGTGCACAAATGTATTTTGCTAGTTTCATTTTATGATTCTGGTTAGTCCTTTTATGTATTTTTCATCTTTTACTTCTTTTTTATTGATTTTTAAAAAAAAATTCTGGTTAGATTATTGCTGTTCAGAAGCTTTACTGTAAAATGGAATGAAATAAGCAGAATTAAAATAAATATCATAAATAAAAGTGATATCTTTTGGGTGGAATAAAATTTATGCAGATCTTCATTTACTTTATATATATATATATATATATATATAT